AAGCAAATGTGGTTGTTTTAAATTTTGGGCTGTGGTCTCATTCTCTCAAGTAAATAAAAAATAAACACTTGCTGAGTGTCTCTAAAGGCATCTGTCTGCATTGTTTGGGTTGGGTTCTGAATTATCATCAGGGTTTCCCATCCCAATTCTCTCTATTTTGTGCGTCTGAATCCCACTTGGCCCTGTAAATGTAGTCTGATCCTCAATTTAATGTAAATTACAAAGTCACTGCTACCACCAGAGAAAGATGAAAGAGTGTCAGCACTGAGACTATGTAATGTAATTTATATTAAATTCAAGCAAACATTTTAATATTTAAATAATATGATGGATGTCGTCCATCTGGTTTGAAGTCTAGATCTGATCATGTAAAACAGCACTAGTCTAGTCCTCCACTAGCGCTGCCTGCTGTTGCTAATGACTGCTCATTATGATTGCATCCATGAACAGATTTTGTTACTGGTTCCCCAGCAGAGAACAGGGTGATGGGACTGGTAAGTATTTACCTTTGGTCATTCACTATTGTTTTCCTCAAATCCCACAGTGTACACTGCTGCCTGTGGGCTTGCTGTAATTAAGCTAACGTTGGAAAAGCCATGTTCCTTCATAGCCATGCTACAGGATGAGAACAGTATTTCCACTAAGAGCAACATGTACAGAAATACAGGTAGCTAGTTGGTTAAACCTGTGTTACACGGTGGTGTAGTTGTGGTGGATTTGATGGTAGTTCAATGTAATTTTAAAGACAGCCAGTGATATAGGTCACTTTCCTTCTCTTCATTCAGCAGATTTGTGTAAATCAGTGTAGCAGATTGCCAATCTGCACAGCTCCACAGCCGGCCAATTCTTTTCTTTTTTAAACTATGTTACTATGTGGAGTCAACCACTGAATCCACGAGCAGAATGGTTGTTGTAACCTGATAAATCAGGGTATCCACATGTCCAATGGCAGCTTCAAGCTGACTAGTCTTCAGCTTTACCTCTGAAGACACAGCAACATGTACTCCATCTAAGCTTAAGCTTTCGTGAGCTACAGCTCACTTCATCGGATGCATTCAGTCCACGGAATGCATCCGATGAAGTGAGCTGTAGCTCACGAAAGCTTATGCTCAAATAAATTTGTTAGTCTCTAAGGTGCCACAAGTCCTCCTTTTCTTTTTGCAGACACAGACTATCACGGCAGCTACTCTGAAATCCATCTAAGCTGCCATTCCTAAGAATAAGTGTCTAGACACAAAAGATAAGATTTTCTTTAATTCCAACTCCAGCAAAAGACTTTGTAGTTTTTCTGAGCCAAGCAGGAAACCTGACATTTACTTGCCCAGGTAAGTATCCTGAATTTTGGCCAACAGGATTCAGACTTCTGCATGAAGATTTAATTTAATGTAGCTTTGCAAGGTTTGCTCACTCATTCAGTTAAGGCAAGTTTTGTTGTTGTTTTTTTGACAGACAAATAACATAACACTGAATCTTTACGGCATTAGCGTCATCACGGTAGGGGTAAGGAAGCAGATTTTATGCCTGGGCTAGTACATTTTTCATAATAATTTTGCAAGTGTTATTTGGTGTCATGCCCTCAGTCTTGTGTTCAGTATTTACCCAGGCTTGTCAATCTGTTTTTGAACAACAGTTGTCTTTAGGCTGCCACTTTTTACTCCTCCTATCTAACCAAATTTATTTTTGGCATAAGCAAACAATATTTTTATGTCTCCTCTGTTACAACAAACACTCCAGATATAATGACACTTAGATGCCACAATGATAAGTGGCACAGATTTACAATATATTAGATAAGTAGGTATTTGTCTCTCATGTAACAGATGTAATTAATGTAGTTCAAAGCGTTGCTCCATTTTCTTTTTCTGCCATAATGAAAACCAAGTTCTAAAATTCAACTGGAAAATGAAGTCACTAAACTATTTGTCACAAAATGACTAAGGAAATAGGATATTCAGAACTACTAAGAGAAACTGTGGCATATTATGACTCACAAATTGGTATATGTAGTGAAGTGCACATCAACAAATGGGGTAAATGAGAAATCACTGCCTTGATAGCTTGAGAAAAGAGGAGGAAGTTCATATTATAAACAGATTAAGAGATAACCTGAAAATCTGCACAAGTAACCATTAATCACCTAAATGTACAGAAACAAAATATTTAGGTCATGTTAACAAATTTGTATCACTCAGATAATCCCTCTAGTGAGTCACAGCTAGATGCGCATCTTGAATACATTTCTTTCAATTCAAATCCTCTCTTCAGAGGAAAGGAATATTCTGAAATAGAAATGTACACCTGAAGCAGTTCAGACGAGAAGATATTTCTTAAGTCTCAGGAAAACTTTTGGTTCTGTGACTTCACCCTCAAATTTTATAGGCCTTTCCAAACAATTTCATACAACGTCCGTTCTAAGAGCGCTTTTCCTCCTCCCTGAGCTTTAAGTTTGCCCTGTTTTCTATTTCTAGATCCAAATAAAGACACACTCACCCTGTAGCTCTTATCCTACTTCTCTTTTTATGGTAACATGGATATGAGCATTTAATAAAAAAAAATAGCTGTCAAGAGATTAGAGAAAATTTTACTCATTTCATTACCCTCTGACTAATTAGAGATAAACAATAAAAAAAGCTCATTAGGATACTATCTGTGGACTTATAGCAACACTTTAAGTAGAATAATTACTGTGTCAGTTGATGTGCAAAAAACCTGCAAATACTGAATGGAACTTTTCATGGGCAATACTAAAGAATTGGACTTCGTCCTATTTCTTCTCAGCTAGATTAAAGCCATCCATCATTTCCCGGTGGCATCAACAACCTATAGGTTTAAAATCACAGCTCCATCTAGAATTTGCAGATGAAAAAGACAGAGCTACTGCCCCCTCTTTTATTTGTAATATAGATTTAACCGCTGGGCTCAAGACTCTCCAAATACAAAAGACATTAAAACATAGAAAACACAATTACTAACAAACCACCCTTTTTCACAAACCTGATTGTATCTTTCACCTTTATTCTTGACACATCCAACTACAAGCCCAATATGATTCCTTATTTCCAAAATAAATGCAGCAAAAATGAGAAACTGTTCAATGAATTTTCAAAACTTCTGTAAACAGGTGTGCGTTCAGAGACCAGTAGATAACTCAGCTATTTTACTTATCCAGTTTAAATCTGGACCTATAGCTGTTGCCCACCCTGAACGCTACTATCCTAAGGGTATGTCTACACTGGCAGAGTTATATCGCTGGCAGTTACAGCGCCGCTCAGAGAGCGCTGAAGGGAAACCGCTGTTGTGTGTTCACACTGTTAGCTCCCTGTGCAATTGCGTGTTCCCGCTTGCAGCACTTGCAGCGGTATTCGGAGCGGTGCCCTTTGGCAGCTGACAGCGCATCTCTTCCTCTTCTGCCGCTAAGAGTTGTGGGAAGGCGGAGGAGGTTGTTGGGCATCCTTGGTCCTGTCCCAATGCCCCGTGATGCATTGCTTAACATCCCAGCAATCCCTGTGCTTCTGTCTGCATTTGGTGCCATCTTTCAACAGTCCATATACTGCGTGCTCTGCCTCTTCGGTCTGCAGGAAGAGATCCCGCACTGTTGACCAATATGCTGCTCACTTTCACTAACACATCACAAGTGGCAGTGGAGTTATTCCTTAAACTACAAAGGCAAAAGGAATTCGACACTGATCTTCCCAAGTGTAGTAGCTACGACACAAGATTGCTTGTGGCGTTCACGGAGGTGCTGACCACAGTGGAACGCTGCTCTTGGGCTCGGGAAACAAGCACTGAGTGGTGGGATCACATGGTCATGCACATCTGGGATGACGAGCAGTGGCTGCAGAACTTTCAGATGAGGAAAGCCACATTCATGGGACTGTGTGATGAGCTCGCCCCAGACCTGCGGCGTAAGGACACGAGAATGAGCTGCTGCCTTGCCATGCCATTGGAGAAGCACATGGCAATTGCACTGTGGGAGCTGGCTACTCCAGACTGCTACCAATCAGTCACTAACCAGTTCGGAGTGGGAAAGTCGACCATTGGAGCCGTGTTGATGGAAGTGTGCAGGGCCATTAATCGCATCCTGCTCTGAAAGACCGTGACTCTGGGCAATGTGCATGACATTGTGGATGGCTTTGCACAAATGGGCTTCCCTAACTGCAGAGGGGCAATTGATGGCAGGCATATTCCAATTCTGGCACCAGACCACCTAGCCACTGAGTACATTAATCGGAAGGGGTATTTCTCTATGGTTCTCCAGGCACTTGTGGCTCACCGTGGGCATTTCACAGACATTAACACAGGCTGGTCTGGAAAGGTGCATGATGCACACATCTTTCGGAATACTGACCTGTTCAGGAAGCTGCACGCAAGGACTTTCTTCCTGGACCAGAAGATCACCATAAGGGAAGGTGAAATGCCCATTCTGATCTTGGGAGAACCTGCCTACCCCTTAATGCCGTGGCTTATGAAGCCATACATGGGGAACCTTGACAGCAGCAAGGAGCAGTTCAACAACAGGCTGAGCAAGTGCAGAATGACTGTTGAGCATGCTTTTGGCCATTTAAAGGCCCGCTAGCTCTGCCTATATGGGAGGCTGGACCTGGCTGATGACAATATTCCTATGCTTATAGCTGCATGCTGTACACTCCATAATATTTGTGAAGGGAAAGGTGAAAGCTTCACTCAGGGCTGGACCACTGAGGCTCAGCGCCTGGAGGCTGAATTTGAACAACCAGGGACCAGGGGGCCATAAGGATCAGGGATGCCTTGAGGCAGCAATTTGAAGCTGAAAGCCACTAATATTTGTTGCTATGCTCAGGAGTGCAGTGCTTGTAATGCTAGGAGGTGATTGTGATTGGTGCAGACGATGCACTATGAAGGTTTAAGAAAATTGCCTGTTGCTTTGCAGGCTCTCTTTGCTTTCAATTAATGGAATAAAGATTTCTTTCAAACCAAAACAATTCTTTTATTAAAAAACAACAACCGGAGGAGAGAGACAAACAAAAAAACACATCAGCCCTGTGGGGGGTGGAGGAAGGGGAAGGAAGGGTCCCCATGAGGAGGTGAGGTCCCAGGGACGTTAAAGATTTGTGTATGTCCAGGTATCATATGCAGCCTTGTCCTTTGGAGTACAGTGCAGCGGGTACTGTACTTCAGGAGGGCTAAACTGCAGAGGGATGGGTGTTGAGTGCAGTGGGTACTGGGAGTCCGCCATGCTGGACTGTGACGGGGGGGGGGAGTGGAATGCTGTGGGTACAGACTGGAGCCAGGAGGTTGATAAGAGTGTGTTGGTGGTGTCTAGAGGGTGCATGGGAAAGAGTTTTGTGACAGCGGCTGCAGGGGAGGGCGGGCACGGAGCTGCTTGGTTTGCAGTGCTTGAAGCGTGTCTGCTTGGCGCTCCATAATGTTTAAGGGCCACTCCGTGGCTTCATTCTGGCGCGCTGCATTCTCCTTTCGGTGCCTCTTCTTGCTGTCCTGCCACTCCTTCAATTACTGTTTTTCGGCTGCGGAGTGCATCATGACATCACGCAGAAAGTCCTCTTTAGTTCTTCGTGGCCACTTTCTAATTCTGCGCAGCAGTTCAGCCAGCGATAACGAAGAGGGAGGCTGGGCTCCCAAGGTCATATCTGTGAAGCCAAAATGCAACATTTTACAGAAGCAGTATTGTTTGCAACACACAGACCACTGATTTAAAACCACTATTCACATACCTGTCATTAACTGGCTGACCCCAGGCAAGCACACATGAGCCACAAGACCCCCAAAATGGTGAGTAACCGCAGGGGCAGTGGAAATCAGTGTTCCGGGACCATACTTTACACTGGGCATGTGGCTTTTGGGGAGAGCCAGCACTATGGGGGGGCCCTATAATCATTACTGTCCCCACATTTTCCACAGGCTGTGTTCATTATGGAAGATAACTCGCTGTAGAGGGTGAGCAGGGAATCAAGGGAGGGTCTTCTCCAAGACTGCGGCTTCCGCCCTGGCCCTTCTGTGGCTCACCTGTTTGCAGCAATGGTTCCTGGCCCCACAGTGATGGCAGAGTGGCGTGGGAAAGTTACCCTTAATGGGGCAAGAAACAAAGCAGCTCTGCCAAAGAACCTGGGGCAGTGGATTGCCCAGTATCTCCATGAGAGTTTCCTGGAGATCTCTGAGGCAGATTCCTGTGAAGTGAGGGAGTCAATCAACACCCTGTTCCGCTGTTCAGGCTAGGCGTGCGGTGGTATGCGCATCATGCAGACCCAAGACTGTTTTCTGCAACCCTCCTGCCCCCAACAACTTGCTTCAGCGATTCCCAAAATCGAAGCCACTTACCAGGGGGCTCCTCTCCTGTTTGTGCTTTGCCAAACTCCAACAGCTGTGACTGGCTAGCCTCCTCCGAGGTAAAGAAGAGCTCCTGACTGCATGCCCTTCTGACCTCTGAGTCGTCCTCTGCCTCTGGGTCCCCCTCCACATCTTCGTCCAAGATTTCCTCCTCCTGGCTCCGTCCATTCTCGACTAGCCCGTGAGCAACTGAAGTATCCACAGGGGCCTTCGCAATGGAGGTGGCGTCACCACCGATTATCACATCCAGCTCTTTGTAGAACCAGCAGCTTGTGGGCGCAGCACCGGAGTGGCGGTTTGCCTCCCGTGCCTTGTGGTAAGCGTTCCACAGCTCCTTCACTTTGACCCTGCACTGCAGCGTGTCCCGGTCATGGCCCCTTTCTGTCATGCATCGTGAACTGTCTGTAGGTATCATAATTCCTACTGCTGGAGTGCAGCTAGGACTGGACAGCCTCCCCTCCCCAAATCTGATGAGGTCCAGCAGCTCGGCATTGCTCCCAGTGGGGGATCGCCTAGTGCGTGGAGCAGGCATGGCCACCTGGAAAGATGTGCTGAGACCACTTCACATGTCAGCGAGCAAACAGGAAGGGGACTTTCATAATTTCCAAGAAATTTAAGGGGCGGGGCTCACGGTTGGTCACCTGAGGGCAGGGCAGTAGAGTTGAACCCCATGACCAGAGAGGCGAGAACAGGCATTGTGGGACACCTCCCGGAGGCCAACTGCAGGGCTGTAAGCAACGAGGGTGTCTACACCGGCACTGTGGCGCTGTAGCCCCAGCACAGAAAGCTCTGCGCCTCTCGTCAGGGTGGGTTTTTTAAGTGCTGCAACTGTGCAGTTTCTGCATGCTAAGTGGCTTGGCAGTGTCTACACTTTGGGAGTTATACCGCAGAAAGCTGCTTTCCTGCGCAGAAACTTGCCAGTGTAGACAAGGCCTAAGAATCTAGACTGATAAAGGAACCATGAATAATGGGGGGCCCCCCCCAGGGCAAACCCCAAAAGGGCCCCCCCCCCCCTCCAAATTTTCCCCCCCCACCCCCCCCCCCCCGGGGGCCCCTAAGGGGGGGGGGGGGGGTTTCCTGTTCATGTCTGTCTCTGATGATCTTATTGCACCACCCAAGTTTTTGGCACCCATATGATCACCAGTGAACAATAGATAGACCAGGTTTATTACTGTTGTTGTTACTCATTATACCCAAATCTGATTATGAGGTCACAAATCTTGCCATCAAACTAGACTGCTTATTTTGAAAGAAATACAAAATCAGTGGAGGAGGAGAACACAGTAGATGTGATACTGCCTATATGGAAGAGTAAAACAAATTAGCCTGGTTAGAAGAAACGTCTCGTGGCCAAGGGGCAAATCAAAGAGCTCCTGTGAAGTCATTTGTTTAGGGCCCAGTTGCAAAGGTCCATATTGAACGTGTGACATTGTGTGTGACTTACCCAAACTCTTATGCCATGCAAACTGCGAAGAGTTGACTCCATGGAGAATGAAGAGAGACAGAATACATGGTATGTCCAGAGGAAGTGATGGAGATTTCTTGTTAAGCAAGAGGAATTGCTCTGCAATGTGTTGCAGTCAAAGGCATGACAAAGGGGAAGTCAACCTGATTTCCTTGGGGCTAAGGTTATTATTCCCTCATAACTCTCAGTCAACATTAAGCAACTTGTATTCACATTACATGGCACTGGAGCATGAGAAGTGAACTAACAACTACTGGGACATCCTATGGCTGCTAGTTTGACAATGCCATAAATATAAAGGGAAGGGTAAACACCTTTAAATCCCTCCTGGCCAGAGGAAAAACACTTTCACCTGTAAAGGGTTAAGAAGCTAAGACAACCTCGCTGGCACCTGACCAAAATGACCAATGAGGAGACAAGATACTTTCAAAGCTGGAGGGGGGTGAGGGGAACAAAGGGTTCTCTCTCTGTCTGTGTTGTCTTTTGCCGGGACCAGAGCAGGAATGCAGGTCAGAACTCCTGTAAAGGGTTAATAAGCAATCTAGTTAGATATGTGTTAGATTCTGTTTTGTTTATATGGCTGGTAAAATAAGCTGTGCTGAAGGGAATGTATATTCCTGTTTTTGTGTCTTTTTGTAACTTAAGGTTTCGCCTAAAGGGATTCTCTATGTTTTGAATCCGATTACCCTGTAAGGTATTTACCATCCTGATTTTACAGAGGTGATTCTTTTACTTTTTCTTCAATTAAAATTCTTCTTTTAAGAACCTGCTTGCTTTTTCATTGTTCTTAAGATCCAAGGGTTTGGGTCTGTGTTCACCTATGCAATTGGTGAGGATTTTTTATCAAGCCTTCCCCAGGAAAGGGGGTGTAGGGCTTGGGGGGATTTTGGCTCCCAGAAGCCTAGCTCCCCAGCTTTCATTTGCTTCTGCAGAGCTTAGGAACCCTTTCCTACAGAACTCTGGAGCTCCACAGTGTGGGGGAGGAAGACACTATCTTATAAAGCTCAGGAGCGCCACAAAAGGAGAGTTAGAAGGGACACTGCTACATGATCTCATGGATTTCTCAACATCCAAAGAAATTCCAAAGCAAAACGTTTTTCAAAAACTCTGATTTGTCTAGTTTAATTTGGTAAAGTGGAACTTTCAGCTTGGAATTCCCAGGTTCGCTATGTTTTGTGTCCTTTGAAAAAACAATAATGTGATCCTATGTTTTGTGTTTTCTTTCCCTGAAAGAATTGTGAAAAACACAATTTCCACCCTTTGCTGCAGAGTCACTAAGTTTTTGCCTATATCTCCATTAATTCTAAATATCTGTTTATTTAGCAATGTATCTATATGTCGTGCATCATATACTGTCTGTCTGTCTTGCCTATTTGGATTTTAGCTTTTAGGGGCAGGAACTGTGTCATTGTATGTTTTTGTCTAGCGCAGTGGAGCCTTGATCCAAACTGGGGTTTATGGGTGCCACAACAATATAAATATTACGGTCCTGGGCCTGTAAAGACTTACACATTTTGTAACAGGACAGCCTGCCTCCCACGTGCCTCTTGTGGCCAGGGGTGCCTCTGCAGCACCCTGCCTCTCTTTACCTCTCTTTTTTAGGGCTCCTTAAGAACTCCACAAAGGCATCTGTGTGTGCACACACCCCTCTTTAGGTCTGGATTTATCAACACAGAAGTTCAAAACAAAACTCAAAAATAAAGTTCACAAAATCCAGCTCAGTTCCCTGCCTTCAGCTAGGCTCTCCCAGTCCTATCTGGCTGCAATCTTCTTCCCCTGGTGCCTCAAACTCCACTGCAGCCTGCAGGAGCCTTCTAACACTCTGCAGCTCCCGCAGTCTCAGCTTTCTCACAGAATCCCACTCCACACTGGTCTCCCTGAGCATCCCCCTCTCCTCTGCAGCTTCCTGCTGTGCTTTATAGGGACCAGGTGTCCTCCCATCAGGCCTCATCATGAGGCTATTAATGAAGCCCAGGTGGACTGGTCCAGCTCCCTCGTCAAGGGCCCACTCCACCTTGTGACACACTGGCTTAACTTTAAGCACACGAGTAGTCCCAAACTGTCAATTGTTTCCCTGGGGTGATCACCTTCATGCCACTTCAGAGACTCAAAAACAATCTTTGATTGACTGCTGAAGAGTACAAAATGATATGTTACCTCACATCCTGCACTGTGGTAGGAAATTGCAGCAGTATTGATTGTAAAGGGCTTGGCTATGTCTGAGCATCTGTGTGATGCCCCACATATGGGACTTGTGGCAAAACCACACCTGACCTCTTACAGGTTGCATCTCATGCTCGACATTTGGAAATGACATCCAAATATAGGAAGTGGCTTCTCCTGCCAAATATGGCCATTTTAAGAAGTTTGTAATATCCTGCTTGATCAAAATAGTCAGTGTCTCCTAAAGAAGTAACATAGGTCTGAATTATATTTTGCTGATGACACTAATTCATTCATTTGAATAGTTGGTATTTATTTGCTAAATAGCCATCTCTAGTTTAACCTTTATACTGAAATTGAAGTGATTAGCATATATCTATTTCTGAGAGTATGTAATGTCCAAGAATAAGGTTTTTTCCACTGAAATACTGCCTGCTGTTTGAATTTATATTTGTTGTAATCAGTCTGCTTTAAAGTTATTTGGATATTTTAAGACACTTTTTAGGATGTTTCTTAGAAACAATAATATTAATGGAAGCTACACATAAGTACCCAAAGGTATCTTACAGAGGTTGCAAAAAAACTTGCATTATGAATCCCTGTGTCCCCATAATTAGAACTTTCTGAATGTTTTGCCTTTTGGGATGAAACTTTAAAGATTCACAAACATGTAGGACTGAAAGGGGCCCCAGCAGGTCACCTAGTCCATCGTGCTGCACTGAGGCAGGATTAAGTACTCTCTAGACCACCCTAAACAGCCCAAAGGGGAATATTCATGGAATATTTGAGTCAAAATATTCAGCTACTTTTTAATTTAATATGTACCTTTTCCACTGGAAAAAAAAAGATTTTTGTTTGTTTGCTGACAAATAACTCAAAGCAACTGAAGTTTAAAAGTTCATGTCTGGATGGTCTGTAGTGAGGAACAATCAATGTGTATGTTTGAAAAACGAGAAGACCACAAATTACTAGAAATTACTTTTAAAAATGTTGGGGGGTGGGATTAAGTGTAATTGGATCTCTTGCTACATTTTAAGTCGCTAGATGTTTTGTGGCACCATGAAGTTCCAGACAATTCTGTCACTCCACAGTGCAGTTGTTACTGCAAGTCTAAAATACAAAGGAGGAATCCCTTTTACATAATTCTTTTCTTGGCCTCTGAAAGAATGAGGGGCAATCCACCACCACCACCTCCTCCTACTAGCTGGAAAATGGCTGCCCAGTCTGTTTACATCCTGGAGTCATCTTTGGGGACAGATTATGATGAACAGTGTTGATGTCATATTTCATAGCAAGCAAAACTGTCCCACTTCCCATACTAAGGCAGGTTCTTCCAGTATCATGTATGGAAATATGAGGAATTGGTGCCTTTTCCCACCTATAACCTGAAGCCACCATCTGTATATATTTCTGACATCTCTAGATAAATAAAAATCAAAATTTTCTCTTTTACCCTTTTTTGGTATTAAACTTTCTTTAGGATAAATATGAAAAAAAGAATTACAGTTAGCTGAAGTTTAGTTAGTTTGGTGGAAATACATCTGTGTTGTACAGAAAAGCCCTGACTAGCAAAGAAAAGAAAGGCCTCAAAATCAACAAGTTATAAGGCCAGAAGGAATGAAGTAAGGAGGATGTCTGGTTCAAAGAATAACTAATGAGATATGGGAAAGTTTCTAAAAACAAGGCCTCTGACTGATGGGGTGACTGCAGATGGTTTTACATAAGACAGAAAGAATCTGTCTTAAAATGAGCCAACATGGCCTTTCCTATCCCACACACCAAGATTAAAGCTTATGTGAACCCAGATGTAGTGGAAAAACCATTGGGCAGCAGGAAGAAGGGGAGGAAAGGTGGTTGTAAACCTTACCTGGATTAAGACTGGAAATAAGAGTGAACTGTCTCAAATTTGGTTTTTAGCTGAAGTCAGTATTTGGCAATGACATCATCTGATTGCTAACGGGTATAAAAAAGTAAACTCTTGCTCATGCCTGCCTGACCACATTGGAGTCAACCAACATGGGTCTATGCACCCTGGTGTTAGATTGTTTGTAAGTATCTTGATCAAATGTTTATAAATGTTTTGTTACTGTTTGGATGTAGTAAATTACTTATTATTTGGGCCTTCTAGGCATAATTAGAGCAATTGCATAAGTACCATTTGGCCTTTGGATTTAATAAAGAAATTTATGGTTAAATTAGTGTTTGATTAGTTTATGGGAAGTGTTGGAATTATTAATATTTGAAATTATTAATATGGGAAACCACCATTTTTGTAACCCTTAATATACACCCACATATTACT